ACTTCCTTTATTCACATATCTGAATCCCTCACTACATTTTTCCCCCATCTCGTTTTCTCTATGACTACCTTTCTCTACCTCCCCCTATCACTTCCCGCCTCCATCTCTATCCCATTCACAACCGTCTCTCTCTCTCTTTCCCTCTCTTACCTGATCAAGTTCAATGCACTGTCTAATTTGATAGCTTAATCAATATGGAGCGTCGAACCCACGATGAATGAAGCCTCAATTTTAACCATGGTTGACATAACCAATTGAATTGGAGTCTAGCATTTTACCCGTAAGCTGGCATTGGTCGTGCTCTCATGTTCTCGTTGAATGCGCTGAAACGTTCAGTTTTAATTAACACATTGCTGCCTCGAACTTTCGACTCAATTACTTGAAAAACACGGCACGCTTCACTGTGCAAGCGGAGCCGTAGCTGAAGCTGAAGTTGAAGCTGGAGTTGGAGTTGGAACTGGAGCTGGAGCTGAGGGCAGAGTGGGCTTCGCGGATTCGTGGCAATGTGAGCTGGGAGCACTCTCTGCGCTCCACTGCGTATCGATGGGCGACTCCCCAGTGGCCTGGCCGCACCAGATAGCACTCGGAGTCAGGCAGCAGCTGCTGCACGTCGTGCATACTGTCCAAGTAATTTATAATATGAGCGACGTGCTGATAAATGAGCTGTCGTTGCGCCAGTTGCTAAATATTAACCAGCCAGTCAGTCGCGTTTAGTTACAGTCTCCTAACCGGCAAAACAAACAAATCTGGCTTTGGTGGGTGGTGCCCAACAACAAGATACCCTGTAGCTGTAGCCCTACGTCATAGATCTCATGAAAATGGTCGAGAGAGAGAGGGAGATATAGAAAACAAAAACACAAAAACCAAACCGTCCTCACTGACTTATGATGTACGGCCGTGTATTTGTCAAATTTGAAGTTTTGTAGCTGATTTAGCGGAGTGTGGATGGAGAGGGGATGGGAAGGGGCCATCACGACCCAGATCGTCGTCCCGATTCGCTTCGCTGCGTCGCTGGAAGCCTTCAAAGCGCTCTAACTGCAATTTAGAACAAGGTCTTTAGACTGCCATTAAGGCACTTTACGTTCCGGCTCAGCATTCCGTATTCGCCATCAAATCATCAACACTTCCCGGCTGCAGTAGCCCCCAAGCGTGGCGCAACATTATTTATGCAGATTTTTTTTGTGAGTTTTTTTGTCGCTTTTTTTTTTTTGGTTTTTTTGTTTTTTTGAAACAAAAGCTTCCAACTTAAACTGTCGCAAACGTCCCCGTCAACGCACCGAGCGCAACAAGCGTGAGAACTAGCGCCAGCCATTGACGCCACAGTGGTGCAAGAGAGGCTAGAAAATTCATTAAAGCAATCTCAGTCTCAATCTCAACGAAATCTCTAAAGCAAAATCTCGACCATTAACAGCCAAAAATCAAAAGCATAAATCTGCTTAATTGGAACTACATTGAAAGAATATTTTTTAGCTGGAATTTAGCTCGGGAACAGCTGCGAACACTCTGCAGATAACAGTTGTAAATTGTTATTGTATTTGCCCATCTATTTTTATATTACTCAATTTATCTCTTTATATTTGTATCTCCCTGTCTCTCTCTCTCTATCTCTCTATTTCTTTCGCTATCCATCTCTTTATTATGTATGTATATCACTCTCTCTATCTATGCTTCACTCTCTCTTGCCTTTTGTCTCTATATCTCTATACATCACTCCTTCTCGATACCTAGAGAGGCACTCTACAGTTCTGTCTATCTCTTTTCTCTAAATCTCTCTCTCTCTCTCTCTCTCCCTCTCTCTCTCTTTCTCTCTTACTCTACGACTCCCTCTCTCTTGTTAACGAATTCCCTCTCTCCAATCCCTTTCTCTGAATGCCTTCAGCGTATATATATTTCTCTCAACGAATATCTCTCTCTATCTCTCATTTTCAATTGCAATTTTATAGCTCTATCTAGAGTTCTGCTGGCATCTAGTATTATATACTCTTAAGAACTTATTATTTTTTACTGCATGCGCATTTGTGGACACTGTTCAAAGAGCCAAACAAAATGCGATGCCATTAAGCTTAAGTTGGGGCAAAAAAAAAAAACACGAGAAAGGAAAACTGCTAGACGAAAAACCATCAAATAAAGCAAAAGTCTTCACATGCACAAAACTTAATGTGTGTGTGTGTGTGTGTGTGTGTGTGTGAATGTACCATGTTATTTGGTGGCCCATATGTGGCAGTGTGTGAGTGAGACTGGACTGCTATTTGGCAATACAATAAAATTTACACGCTTATTAATTTTTACAAGACTTTGTCCGACACTTGAGCAAGCCGCCAGCAACATGAGCGATGAGCAACAGCAGCGAAAAACAACAGCAACAACAACAACAACAACAGCAGTAGCAGCACTTGGCGGTGCGTTTTCTAAGGTTCCAGCATGTTTACCATTCACCCACAAACGCACACTGAATAGTAGTGGTGCTTGCCGATCATGAGAAGGCGTATGAGCAGAGTAGGAGGGGCATGGGGGCTGGCCACCTCTTCAAACAAAATTTTCAACTTATATTTTGTTGTTGGTTTATAATTTTTTTTCTCCCCCCATTCTGTTTTTTTGCCTTTGTTTTTGTTTTTCTTTGCGCTGGCAGCTAGAGCGGACACAAAGGCGAGCGCTGCAATGGGATGAGTGGCGAGAGGAGGCTCAGTTGGGGCGTCATTTTGCTCTAGAAAGTTTCGGGGCCTTTGGGCGCTGCTCTCAACAGCGGAATGAGCAAAGAGCGAGACGTAGGCGGAGGCAGTGCGGAAGGCGTGGCAGGGCGAACTGTGTGCGAATAGCCTCAGCTCGGTTAGCAAAGCTATTGCAGCATTTTTGGTTTACATGTAAATACATATACATACATATATATAAGCTCAGTCAGTTTTACTATGCAAAATATGGTAAGAGCAACATTTTTCTCTATTTTCAAGCGTATTTCAGGCATAGTCATAGTCAGCCAGCGAGAAAGTATGTATGCATATAAACAACGGTCCTGCCTGTCATGTGTATGTGTAAACACACACACAAACACACACACACACTCACACGCCCACACGGTTGCTTCATAACATCAAAAAGGCGGTGCACGGCTCGCCGCATACTTGAGGTTTGTCCGGGAGTTCTTATCCGTTTCCAGTTGGCATCCTGACCGGCCGAGAGCTGCTTAGGCACTGTCCAACAAGTAGACGGAACTCGTAGCCAGCGCCCATGTATGCGGAGTCGAATTTAGTGGGCGGGAAAGTAGTAGAAGTGGAGTAGAAAGGGAAAAAAAAAAAAAAAAAACGATGAGGTGAATAGAATCAAAAGAAGGTGGCAGAGGAAAACTAAGCAATTTGCTTGCTTTTCAAATACGTTTAGTTTGAAAAACAGTTTTCCCCAGAAAAAAAAAAGCCAAGAGAGACAGAAAGAGAGAGAGATAGAGAGAGCGAGAGAGAGAGAGAGAACGGAAGACCAAAGGAAACTAAAAGTGATTCGTCGACCGCAGGTGGAAGTTGTCGAAAGTGTTTATAAGATGAAAATTACGAAAGTTGCTCAGCCAAACATCCAGTGAAACACTCGAGCACTTAAATACTAATTAAAAGATAATACGCACAAGCTGACTAAGCCTGCGGTCGCCAGATAAAAACTGCATGCCCTAAATTTAAGGCAGATCCCAAGTCAAAGAGTTGGAAAGACAACAAATTATATAATAATCAAATAGTACTTAAATATAAATGATAATAATACAAAGCAAATAAATTAATATATATTAAAAAATCAACTTATGTAAATATTTAAATATAAATGATAATAATGCAAAGAAAATGAATTAATATCTTTAATTATTTCAGAGGAAAAATATTTATTTACATAAATAGAAACATATATAAATAAATATAAATATGAAAGAAATTAAAAACAACTATACAAAAGTTATATAGGAATACATATAAACAGAGTTAATTTAGTTCAAAACTCACATCATAAATCATAAAATTGTGACCCTATTTGTATGGCTCTCAATGTTCCAGCGGGAATTCAATAAAAGAATTTGTCGGAATCAATTCAGAACTCATTTGCGGTTCGCATTTTGCGAAAATTGATAAGATATGGATTTGAGTGCTCTTCGCTCTCTAATTCGAGCTTGTTAAATAAGAGCTACTTGGGCGGTCTAGCAGCCGAACAAAGCTGTGCGACTTTTGCAACAGTGAAGCCAAAGGCAAAGCCAAGGGCGAGTGGGTCTGGGTCTCGGTCTGGGTTTGGTTAGCTTGAAGTGGCAGCCATTGCCCTGGCGAATGTCGCCTGCCAATGGACGCCGGACGGGCGAGCAGATGCTGTGACGGATGTCAAGCTGGCATCGTGCACTCAACTGGGTATATGGCCACTATAAGGTCGACACTTGAGCACTAGAATTGCAAGCAACCGCTCGATTGCTCGCTCTAGCTGTTGGTATTGGTATGGGAATGGGAATGGGAATGGGAATTGGAAGTGGATGTGGATGTGGAATCGGAACTCGTATCGAGGGTTGGCCGTTGTGACAGTAAGCAGCTTAGGTGCTCCATGATGGCATGCATGTCACAAGTCACGCTCATGTGTGCTCTATGACAGATTGCATTGTATATACATACTGTATGTATGTATGTATGTATGTATGTGACAGGGAATTTATAAATGTTTCTAATCAAATATAACCAGCAGATAGACACAGCAACATATTTATATGCATGCATACTCTTATTTACACACGTTGCTGTCTTTATTTGTGGATAGTTCCATATCCACACCTGTATGTATGTTATACAATATATCATTGTTGTTGTTTGGCATTGTTTGCAGTCCCATCGAACTGTTTGTGTGAGCCGTTTGGCTGCTTCGGGTGTTGTGTATCTTGTGGCTGTTGTCAAAGTCTCTTTTCTATTTAGTTTGCTTGATTGTTTGCATTTCGACAATTGTTTTAATCGAAACTCTTATGGCTCTACTTTTCTTTTGCTCTTTATTGACAGCTATGACGGAGGAAATAACCGGCAACTGGCACTACTATGTGTATATATCAATAACATTGGTTCCAGTCTATTTGACATTTCAGCTCATTAAGTTTTTGGGCTGGCAACTATTTGTGAACAACTGAGCAAATAGCCAACGCACAGCCAACATCACAGACATCAACACAGCATCAACAACACCAACAACAACAACACCAACACCAACAACACTTAACAGTCAACAGCGAGCAGTGAGCAGCCAGCACAGCGGAGTCATAATCACAATTGAAATTGGAATTGCAGTTGCTGAGTTTGGAGCTGAAGCCGAAGTTGGGAACTGCTGTTCTAAAAGGTGCGTAGTCACTTGAAGGCAGTCGCCGCTGTCAGTCGAAAGTCGTTGAGTGCGCGTAAAGGACCGTTGTGTAGGACTCTGAGCACTGCAGGCTCAGCCCAATTTTGAGCTCCAGGCAGACAGTCAGCCAGGCAGTCGTTGCATCCATACACAAAGTCGGTTGCAAATAATTTGAAAACTATTTAAATATGCTTATGACTGAAGTTTTTCACTTGCAGCCACGCTCACTGACAAGGACCCATCCGGACGACACGCTGGGAATACGAAATAAAAAAAAAAATAATAATAATAAAAACTAAAAATTGAAGCGAGAAGCAAATACAAATAAAACGAGATAGCGACAGAGATAGGTATAGAGATAGAGATAGCTAGAGATATAAAGTGTACGCAACGAGAAGCTGAAGAGATCGTTAAGCGCATGTCCTTAGCCCAAGCCGTGGGAGTATATAAAACATAATTTGCCTAAGTAAATATGTTTAAATTCAATAAAAATAGCGCAGTTAGCGCAGAGAACAGAGTATGATGAGAGCAACGTAAGCGATATAAATAACAAAATTAACCGGAAAAAAATAAGTGAAAACGGAAGAAAAGCAAGAGAGAGACAGAGAGAGAGAGGGAAAAACAGACACACACACACACACACACAAAGCAAAAGCAGCTGTTAGAAATTTTTGTAGTTGCCCGTGGAATATTGAAATCACATAGTTAGTTGATGCCACTGTTGGTCCACGCTGACCGCACGTAGCTCCCGAGACGCCGAGGACAAGTCGAGGAAATGCAAAGCAATCAACATCATAAACAGAAGCAGCAGCAGCACCAGCACCAGCACCGGATAAAGGAGCAGAAACAGGAGCTGAAGCGGCAGTTGAAGCAGTTGAAGCAGAAGCAAAGCGAATGCCAAAGACGCAATCATAGCCGTGGTATCTAAAGCCAGCAGCAACAACGCTAAGCACAACAAACGGCAGTAATTTTAACCGGAACAACAGCAGCTGAAAGGCATCCAAGTGCAAATAGAGGCAGCAGCAACTGTCGAAGAAAGCAAACGAAAACTTGTAGGCAACGGCTAAAGAAACCAATTTACATATTTAAGCTTGTAACGTCCGGCAACCAGAAGCCAACTGCTGACAATCGGACAGTGAGAGAATCAGTGAGTCACTGAGTCAATCAGCCAGTGAGTCAGTGAGTCAGTCATTTGAATCAATAAGGCAACACAAATAGACGACGGCTCAAGTGCAGTCAGTCAGTCAGTGAGAGCGTTGGCTGACGCAGCTGCCCGTTGGATTGGGCATTGAAATCAAAAAGCAGTTAGTTTCACACCTCAGTTGGCCGCCGCCAGCAGCTGGCCAGGATGCGGCTGCCATATCGCAATAAGAAAATCACCCTTTGGGTGCTTTTTGGCATAATTGTCGTCACAATGTTCCTATTCAAATTCACCGAACTGCGGCCCACCTGTCTCTTCAAGCTGGACCCCACTAACGATTTGCCATCACAAATGATGCGTGTAGAGGTAAGCATATACATACATTTATGTATACATATATGTATTATATATAGACACACACACACATGCACGCATCGAGCTCAAGTTTATTTACACTTGAGGCTATGCACATAGGTATTAGGGTATTTGGGGCCGATGGCGAATGATAAATCAAATTGCGGCCAGCATAGTTAGAGCATCGATAGATATAGATGTGTCGTTTCGCTCGCATCTGGGAGCCCAAAGGACTGTATAACTAATTTCATGTTGACTGCACACGCTGACCCAAACCGCAAGCGATGCAAAGTCATTGGGGGATTTGCTGCTTATCGCTTGGCCGAACACCATTTTGTAAACATTAGTTGACCAAATGCCAACAAGAGCTGCAATTTTCATCTTCTTCTTCTTCACTTTTTTTTGTTTGCTTGCTGGCCAATCGTGGCCACACTTCAGCTGAAAGCGGATCAGGTGGAAAGCAAGCACAGACTCATTCACAACACACGACCCAGCTATTCACAATATATATTCACTCGAGAAGTGGACTTGTCCACAATGCCCCAATGCAGTTTCGACCAATTTTTCAATTTTCAACTTACGATTTGTTGACTGCAGTCGGAGCGCTTTCGATGGCCGAGAGCTGTGAGATTTTCCTTTGTTGCTGCTTGTTAATTGAATTTAAGTTGCATCATTATTGAGGCAGTTAAGCCTTTTGACCCAACTTGGTGTGTGTGTGCGTGTGTGTGTGTGTGTGCCTGGGTGCTTTGGCCCCAATTCAATCAAATTGCTCTGATCAATAATTCATTATTGGGGCACATTCTGTTTGCGCTTGTCGCATTCTTATCTCATCAAAGCAGTCAGCCGATAAGGACAGACAGACAGACGGACGAACGGACGGACGGACGAACAACAGTCAGCTAGAATTTCGCCTTATCGGATCGATTAAAAGTGCTGACTAACAGCCACGGAATTGGATGGGCGGCGGGTGGAGATGGAGAAACCACAGTGTTAACCAATTGCCGAATCTCCCAGCAAACAACAAAATATGCTGTCATACACTCTCGATAGGAGGGGAGTCGACATTTCCCATGAATGGTGTAACAGCTGCGATAGAATACACAGAGCCAGAGCACAGCAGAACGTATATGTGATGGAAAAGCTTCCCAGCTCTGCGTTTTATTATTTATGACGTTGGCTGATGATAGTTATTTCCCTGCTATATAAGCCAAATACTTCGAATCAGTATGCTAGCCAGATATTTAAATTGACTTACATATATGCGATGTATCGGACAGGTTTTGATCAGACTGCTCTAACTTCTATTAGAAATGTTTTTCAAATTCAGTCCGATTGGGCAGTCAGATCTCTTAAGAGGCTTCATTAAGTTCTATGGGATATATTTGCCAGATAATTCCATTAACTTGTTATTATTATTACCAATGCGATATGTTTCCATCATCACACTTTTATTTCTTTTATGCGATATATCCATAAACTTAATAATTCAATTAACAGAGCTCTATAGCTTCTATACGATAGCTCCGATTTTCCCATGCGATATTCTAGCCAGATTTTTCCATATTATTCTACATTCTATATTAATTTGTATACAGCTTCTATACGATAGCTCATATTTGTTCATGCCAGATTTCCATATTATTCTATATTCTATATTAATTTGTATTCGAAATATCAAGTGAATATCGTTATAAATTTATATGCGATATATGTGCCAGCCATCTTTAACTTGTATATACAAGTAAACTATTTCCATTTTCAGCCTTCTATAAGTGGTATGCGATATATGTTACAATATGTTACTATGTTTTCCTAACATATTCCTATAACTTCTATCCGATACTTCAATCGTAACACGTTTTCTAATCACTCAAAAATCTCTTTGCATAGAGTAGTTGAATTTCGAATATTTTCTCAAATATTTTGTCTTCTTCTTAGCACAATTTCACGCATATTTTGCTCGCGTTGAGTAAGTTGTTAAAGCGGCTCGTATTAGAGGCTTAGATTCTAGAGTAGAACGCCTGGGCCGAGGCATTTTTTAGCTGCGCACGAAAATCCTTTAAATTGACATTAATGCGACAGGCACGCCAAAGGTTAACGGGCTGCTGTTACCAATACCCACACACGTAGATAAACTTAAATGTATGTGTGTGTGTGTGTGTGTGTGTGGGGCCACGCAAATTCAGTTGACAGCTGCCTGGGGCACCTTGGCGACATCGTTGCTATGCTTCAGGCTCGCCGCCAGCAGCTGCTCATTCTCATAATTATCATCATTATCGTCGTGGAGACACACTTAATTTTTGCCTGCAACTTTTCTCTAATTTAATTTTTTTCCTTTCCCCCCCTCGTGCTACCTTTTTTCTATGTTTCTTTTTTTTTTTATTATTATATTTGCTCGGCGCTCCATCGTTCACCATCTAGAAATACGTCACAGATGACAATCAACGCTCCTATTCATACAACCGTGAGATGCCATTAATATTCATAGGTGGCGTGCCCAGGTCTGGCACGACATTAATGCGCGCCATGTTGGATGCTCATCCCGATGTGCGGTAAGTTTACACCCAAAAAATACAAAAACACAACCAACCAACATTGCTCCCTGGCTGCCTAGTGCCCCAGCTCCCCAATTCCCCAGCTCCCCAACTCCCCAGCGCCCTGCATCATCAACACATACTTGAAAGCCGGCCCACAATCGGCACCCGGCACTCGGCACACTTGTGTCCACGCAACCCCATACGACTGCCTGAATGGCTTGCCTGACTCACAATGTGGGGCTAACAAAGGCAACAGGTCAAGCCCTACATGACAGCCACAAAAAACCGTTTTATGTTGCATGTTCATACAAATACTTTTCAAATATGTCAGACTGCCAAAGGCACATTATTATTGGGTAATGCCTCTCACTAGCAGCGATGAGAAACTCATAGTTCTATATATAATATAGTTTACAAATAAAGTTTGTAGGCTAACGTAGGAATAAATAATATATTTTTTACTTATTAAAATTAGGGAAATATTACAATTGGAGCGACTAAAGTTTGTCTTTAGTCTGGAAATTAAGTTCAGTTTTATTTCGCTAAATTTCTGTCCAAAGAGCATCCTCTTGAGATCTGAAAACAGGAAATAGTTCCTGAGGGGAGCAGGAATTATATCACTGTCAATTTCATTGAACTTTACCACCATTTCAAACTGATTTAGGAGACGGAGCATTTGGTAAATTTTGACAATCAGCGGTTGAGTCTCTTGGTCCTTAAGTTCGAATAATATTCATCAAGCCAAGCCTTGGCATTGACAGTGCCTTAGCTAAATTTAAGCACGAGATTCCTTCCCTCTTCATTCATTTTTCTTCAAAGTAGCATGAGTTACTATATAAGAACTTAAGTATTTCATACTGAAATAGATGGAATAAGAATTGAATTGTGATATGCTTACAATTGAGAGAGAAGATATTAAAGTATTCCTTTAGTTCACCCTCGCTAATTAAGTTACAGCTTTTACCACAGTTGTGCGAGGCCCAGAGTAGTTCTAGTGACTAGATAAATGAGCTAGAGCGATCTATGCTGTACTCATATTAATGCTCAATCATCAATCAGTGCTTAACATCCCAAGCCGAACTGACCTGTATGAGCTAGAAAACTTTATGCTAAACTGCTTTCAAAATCAACAAACTCGCTGCTGTCTATTGTCAAGTAGTTTCTTATATATGTTCTGCAATAGCTTTCATATATACCATAATCAGGCCAAGCTGCTGGGATCTCCTTTCATGCCACTCACTTATGCCCGAAGAACTATTTTATCAAATGACTCAGAGTCACTTGAAAAGTAATTAAACTGATTTACTACCAAGTGCTAGTCAAACAATTAACGTGAAGTTAATCCGCTGAATTGTATTGCTAAATAATTAGCTTGTAGGCACACAGGAATTATGTAAATGATAATAGCTGCTAAAGTGCTGCACAAAATAACTGTACAGCACGTAATCAACGTAGCAGGTGTTTATTTATTTTGCAGCTATATCAAAATGTTATCGTTTATATATGTATTACATGATATACATACATAGATAGACGCCGACGCGTCGCGACGCGGCACCGGGCACCGACTTGTCTGAAATGATGGATGGCCAAAACCTGCTGTCCAGTTGCTGCTTTCTGCTACGGCTTTTTCAATTGTAAGAGAGGAGGATGGGGAAGGGGGAGGGGGCGAAACCAAAAAGAGCGGGTAACTTTGGATTTATTGTCTGCGGGGCTGGCGTCACAGCATGAATTAGATTATTAAGTTTATGCTACGCATGAGTAATTAGCCACGAATTTTTGCGCTGCGGACGTCTCCTTTGTGCCGTTAGTCAGTGGAACGGCGAGGCAGGTTAAAGGCGTGCCACGGCACAGAGAGACTGCATTACGGCGATACAAAGGACATCAAAAGGCTATGGGGTCTGTTAGGTGTCGACTTTTGCTTGCTTATTTTATTAACAATTTGCATTTTACGCCACTTCTCCCCTGCCCACTCTCTCTCTCTCTCTCGAACACACACACACATACTGTGCACTGAATTCCGACTGCTGACTCCTCGACTTCTGGGTCTGCTGGAGCTGCTGGGGCTGCTGGGGCTGCCGGCTGCTGACAGCAGTCAGCGCCACTTTTTCTGATGGCTGCACAGCACAATTTCCGCTATTTAAAAACTTACTTCCGCCCCGCAAGAGCCAGGGACGCCTTTAGTTAAATTTGTGCCAGTGCAGATACAGATACGCCTGCACAGCACAGATACAGATACGAGCAGCCATGTGTGTGTGTGCGTCTGTAGGGATGAATCCAATGTTTTTGCGCTGGCCTCGTTAGCTTTTGTTCGTCCGATTTGCATATAAGCCACGCGCATGTAATTGCTCCAAGATTATATATATTTGTAGAGCTTTGCCGCCGGCTCTGTCTAACTCAAGTTAGAGAATTGTGGAATTTGCCTGTAACTCATGGCATCCGTAGCCCAATGCAGGGCCAACAAATGTCCACAGTTGGCAGTTTGCTTGCGCAACACGCTCAAATGGCCCTCAGTGAATAACGAGCAAATGGATTCCGCAGAGCAATAAAGTCATTTGAAATACTAGCAAGAACGCGATAGAGTCCCTGGCACGGCATCCAACTGGCAAAAAGTGAGCATTCAACAAGCAACTTGATATGCATGAAAAGCAGCTATGATATGATACGAAGAGAATTCCATATTTGGATAGATGTTAGAGAGTCTGTGTAGAAATATAGAAGGAGGAGAGAGTTTTGGGCTGACTTTATGAACAGATCTTGCAAAGCTAGAGATCACAGGTGGATAAGAAGGAGGATACTATTTGGATAGATGTTAGAAAATAGGTGTAGAAGTGTAGAGGCAAGAGAGACTTGATCAACAGATCTTGCAAATCTAATCTAGAGATCGCATAGGTGGATATAAAGGAGGATAGATAGATAAAAGAATGAATAGATCTTGTCAAGCAAATCTAGGTGGATAGGAAGAAAGATAGCTAGATAATAGAAGATTATTTGGTAGATGAAGTATAGAGGAATACAAGAGTTTTGAGCTGACTATATGAACAGATCTTGCAAGTCTAATCTAGAGATCACATAGGTGGATATGAAGGAAGAGAATTATATATTGAAATAGACAACAGAAAACAGATTTTAAGAACTTATTCTTGATATGCTCGTTCATAAGATGAACAGAGTATATTAGATTTGTATAGTGCACTTTATATTAATTGGAACAACAACTTTCGTTCTGTCTGCTTAAAGTTTGAAATTTGTAAAATGGGAATAAATATATATAAGAAATATACACCTACATATATATAAATAGTTATGCATATTTAAATATTCATAAAATTTATTTCAAATGCCGAATGCGGCTAGAATTTAAAGCAATAAAACTGAAGGCTATAAAATTGAAATTTCAATTATTTACACATGCATATATGTACATACATATACATATACATTAATTTAGTGCCTAAAATTTGTCTCAGAAAGTCTTAAATAAATAATATGATTTTGTTTATTAAATTTCCAGCTCACAATTCCAGCCAGAATTTGTCAGTTGAAATTGGTTTTTCAGGAATTCGACTTGAACGTTTTCAATCACAATTTTTCGGCTGTCTACAAAATTTGATTTTGTATTTCACCGAAAGGAAAGAAAAAAACATTGCTTATGCAAAATAATTCCATCGTTGCTCTACCTTGTTTGCTTGCACACTCAATATTGATTGAAATGGCCTTTCGTCGGTCTCTCCGTAAAGTATGCAACATTTATTAGCCAGTCCGACTTTTATATTAAATATCGGGCCTAATTGCTTTAAGTGAAATTCAGTTGAGTCCAGTTCAGTTCACTCTCGCATGCACAGAGAGAGAGAGAGAGAGAGAGAGAGAGAGCTGTGCATGCCGGCACGCCTCTCGCCCCTGGCATTTCGTGCGCCACAAGAATTCATAATTATTGCATTCAGGGAATGTAATTAAAATATTTCAGCATCAACTGACCTGGACGTACGTAGCCTAATTGATTTTGCACAAATTCTAGTGGCTGTGGCTGGACAAAGTCCTTACAGCTCCTCCGGCACTTGCCTTAAATTGTAGTCCAACGGCATCTGCTCAATGGCCGAGTGGATGCTGTTAATTCGCGAATTACGCGAAAAGAACTGCCGGCCGGGCCAAGAGTGGCTAGGGTCGGGGTGGGGCGAGCGAGGGCGGGGAAGGGCTGCGCTTGTTGTTTGCTCGAAAATTTAGCAATTTAACGCTTCAATGTTGAGCCTTGTTGAGTGCAACAGAATCAAGTCGAGGCGAGCAGTGAGTGGTGAGAGTCGAGGGGCGTGGGGCGAGGGGCGAGTCGAGTGAGCGCTAACCATTTAGTCGATTGCATTAGCAAAAGCCCAGAGCTGAATTGTTTTGAGGCGTGATGCGGGCATGGAGCACGCTGCGTTTCGAAGCGCAGCGATATCAAACATCATTGTTGTTTCGCTGTTTTGTAACTTGGTCGAATCCCATGGTTCCACTACACCACAGCCCTCACACACACACACACACTCACACATACACATATTTTACCTTCCATTTATCCTTCCGGTCGACTGGTGCAGCTGCTCCTGCTGTGCTGCATTGCTGCATTGCCCGGCTTTTGCTTATTCGCTTTTGTATGTCTCATCCATTTAGCTGCGGGCAGGAGACGCGCGTCATTCCGCGCATTCTACAGCTGCGCTCGCACTGGCTAAAGTCCGAAAAGGAGTCGCTGCGCCTGCAGGAGGCGGGCATCACCAAGGAGGTCATGAACAGTGCCATCGCCCAATTCTGCTTGGAAATCATTGCGAAGCATGGTGAACCGGCGCCGCGCTTATGTAACAAGGATCCGCTGACTCTCAAAATGGGCTCCTATGTAATCGAGCTATTTCCCAATGTAAGCACACACACACACAGACAGACCCACACACACACACACACACACACACGCACACAGACATACAGAGAAAGAACTGTAACTTGATTTAAAAGTATTTGTTTGTACTTCCCTCTAATTGACGTAGGCCAAATTCCTATTCATGGTGCGGGACGGACGTGCAACGGTTCATTCGATTATATCCCGCAAGGTGACAATCACCGGATTCGATTTGAGCAGCTATCGCCAGTGCATGCAGAAATGGAATCACGCCATCGAGCTAATGCACGAACAGTGCCGCGACATTGGCAAGGATCGATGCATGATGGTGAGTGGAGAAAGAGAAAGGAAGAGAGAGAGTGAGAGAGTTGGCAGTAGTAGTAGTAGCCAGGCGAGGGCGGAGAGTTGACAGACGACAGTTGACAGTTGTCAGCTGCACATATGACACATACACACACAGAGAGAGAGAGAGAGAAAGAGAGACGAAAAAATAAAAGTTAATTAATTTTTAATGAATGCTAGAATATCATGTGTGTGCTCAGTGTAAACATTTTAGCGAATTTTATTTTATTTTATTTAATTATTTTTATTATTTTTTTTTTTTTATTTATTTATTTATTTTATTTTTATTTTTATTTTTTTTTTTTTTTTAATTTATTTACAATTGAAATTCTTTTGTACTGCGCGGATTTCAAAGCATATTAAAATAATAATAATTAAAAAGTGAATAAATAATGAAAATAGTAAAAATTCCAATATAATTTAAATATTAAAAATATTTCGATTATATGTTTGTGAATATACCTTGATAAGTTTCTTTACGTATCATCTTTAAGATTTTAGCATAGACTTAGATTTAGACTGAGATAATAGACTTAACCTTACACTGCCTCATCTGCTTCATCTTTATCTTCACTGCTCTTGAGTTTCTTTAGCTTAGGCTGTGACTTGATAGAGCAAGCAATGGAGAAATAGTTAAGCGCAACAGCGGCAATTGAAGAGCTGCCAAATTTTTACATCATTCAATATCAATATAATAAATTGCTTGAATGTTAAAGCTAATTATCAAAAAGCAAATCCTTTTCATTTCATATATACAAAATCCGTAATGAATGCATTGCATAGTAATAATTAATTACGAGTGAATTGTAAAGGCTCTCAATTCCTCTGCATGTGACCCATTCCCTATATTCAATGTTTCTCTCCGCATATTCCTCTGCCTCTATTGCTGTAGCTGAGCGAATGAAAAACTAAATCATTGTTAAATGAAAACTCATGACAGTCAAACGCTGTTTTGGTATTTATGAATCCTTCATATTAGAGGGGGAATGCCGCAAGCCCAAGCATACTCAAATATCGGAAACGGTCACACCTTTTATGAGAAACTCCTCTATATATCAAACAAATCCCTATTAATTCGTTTTGTCTTCCTCGAATTTTACTTGACTTGAATTTTCTGCCCACAAGTTCATTAGAAATGACAATTATCATTAGCATAATTTATGAGAGCAGCTAAATTAAATAGTTTTGGATAAGTGTAAGACTCTCTGCTCTAGACAGCCTGTTTAAGCACCTTTAGTAATTAGCTTTGACATGTTTTAAATTACACTTTGCAGTTGCAGTCTGTAATTTTAATGACATAATTTAATTATAATAATCATTAGCACGATAAGAATGTTTGCAGAGCCCTGACGTTGAGCCTCCTCGTATTGATTTGTGTTTGTAATTGTTGGTTATTAAAGTCATAATTGCAAATCCTATAAAGCAGGGCAATTTGAGTAATTACATTGAAATTTATGGCTCTGTGTGCATTATTAAATATATTTAAATGCCATTAAAATTGTAATTTATTGCCATAGTCCATTGTTATGCAGGCAGTCAACAGATTAATGTAAAACATAATTATTTGAAAATTTTAAAACACGTTTCAATGCCATTTCGAAATGAGCTGGGCATTAATTATAATTAAAGTGCTGAACAAGCGAAATTATTTGATCTTGGTTTTTATATTACTAAAAATAATAGTTAATAATTACTAATTAGTAATTGAACTAATTTTGTAGTTTATAAAATGCACAAATTATTTTTTCTTTATCACTAAAAACAATAATAAAGATTGAATATATATAATTTGTTTTTAATTATTAATGCCTACTATTTAGTAATTAAATAATATATAAACTCAGATTATTTTGTTTAATTATAAATTTTTTATAATATTAGTGTGAATAGTTCAACCTTTATTAATTTTATTTATTTATTATTAATTATTGTCTTTTTTATTATTATTATTATTTTATTTAAACACCTTTTCACAATTATTTCTATCGAAATTATTTTTTTTATTTTATCACTATTTACTATTTTATTTACCAAAAAAAAAAAAAAAAAAAAAAAAAAAAAAAAAAAAAAAAAAAAAA